AGCAGTAGAAGTAGCAGTAGCAGTAGTAGCAGTAGCAGTAGCAGTAGCAGTAGCAGTAGCAGTAGCAGTAGCAGTAGCAGTAGCAGTAGCAGTAGCAGTAGCAGTAGCAGTAGCAGGAGTCGCAGTAGCAGTAGCAGTAGCAGTAGCAGTCGCAGTCGCAGTCGCAGTCGTAGTTTCAGTCGCAGCCGCAGTCGCAATCGCAGTCGCAGTAGCAGTAGCAGTAGCAGTAGCAGTAGCCTTAGGAGTAGTAGTAGTAGTAGTAGTAGTAGTAGTAGTACTAGTAGGAGTAGTCGGAGTAGTAGTAGTAGTAGCAGTCGAGTCGTAGTGGCAGCAGGCAGTAGTAGTCGTAGTCGTAGTGGTAGTGGTAGTGGCAGAGAAGATGGTGGTGGTAGTAGTAGTAGTAGTAGCAGCAGCAGTAGTAGTAGTAGCAGCAGCAGTAGTAGTAGAAGTACTAGCTCGTCGTCGTGGGCAGTAGTAGTCGTGGTCGTAGTCACAGTAGTGGAAACATGCCCGCAGGGAGCAAAACTGACGGACGCAAGAGAGGGGGGCAGCGGTGGGAAGGGGGCGAGCTAATTCAAGAAAGGAGGAACGAGGGCAGGGGCGGAAGTGAGAGAGGTTGAAAGGGGGTGAGGCTGAAGACGAAGGGTGAGGGTGACGAAGATGAGAATCAGAACCAGGATGAGGATGATCAACAAGTTAGGCCACCTCATGAGGACGAGGATGAGAACGAGGATGATGAAGGACGAGCTCCCCACCAAGTGGGGTTGAGTGGCGAGGCTGGCACGAACAAGGGGGCACGGGTCCGTCAAGATTTCGCGTGTTTAGCCAGTGGCGGAGGGGGTTGCCTACGCAAACGGGTAGACCTCAACCTTAAACGTGAAATTCCTGCGGAGCCCTCACCTCGTCATGTCGCAACAAGGTTTTCTGGGAGTCTGGTCAGTGGATGTGTGGATCTGTTTCACGACGTGCCTCGCCCAAAATGGCAACACTTCAGCTGCTCTTACCAATACTATTTCGGCGGTTCCTTATTACAGCTATAGTATATTAGACCCCAAAAATCTATTCTGGCTGGCCCCTACATTAGGGTTGAGGGTTGAAGGTCGATCGCGGAAAAGGACTTGGTCCAGCGCCAGCCCGTCCCATGCCCCGAAACCCCAAACCCGAAGCAACCATCAGCCCATCAAGAAGAAATAAGACGAGGACGTCACAGCCAAGGAACCCAACAAGGTCGGTGTAGTGGCCCAGGCATAGACGCAAAGCTCAAAATAAGTGCAAGGGGGTTCTGGAAGGGCCAATGTGGTGAATGAGGGTTTCTAAAGGGACTGCGGTTATGATCAATCCATGATTGCTGTAGTTGTTAAACTCTCCACATGCCCTACGCTACAAAGCCCAAACCTCCAACCCCAAATTCGAAGCCCTGCACCCTGAAGCCTAAACCCCTATCACCACTGGCGAAGAGGTGCATGGATCCCACCCCGGGTGCGGGACCGGAGGCCTGGAACACCGAGCTTAGCTCTGCTTGCAGAGTTCGGATGGGTATTCAGGGGATTCAGGGGGCCGCAAGACAACTGCACGGGTTTGGGAGTGTGTGAACCGTGGTACA